TTTTTTGGTATTAAGATGACTTCTTTGGTCTTTTGATTTTTATTAATTATTTATTGGTATTGTGGTTCAATGAACCACTACAGGAGAGAGTACAATTGGCTACACATGAAACTTTTCTATATTACCTATTTAAGGAGTCTGCCTAAAAGTTCTCTACCAATTGCTATACCTAACACCTCTGCTTGAATGTTCCACTTTAAATTCTCTGAATCTGTAATCTGTATTAACTCACTAGGTTATATCCAGATGCCCAGATTATTATCTCAATCTTAGAACTAATTTATTTTCAAGATAAACCCTCTAGAGCCTTCTGTACCCATTTTTATAGCTGATTTAGGTATTGCTATAGCAGAACTAACACTTGTGATCAGGGCTAACCATTAAACTATTATGCTTTTGTAGAGTTTACTTAGATCTCAGCATCTACTTTACAGTATAACCCTAATATTTTTAGTATATCTCTGCCTTTTTATCTGCCTTTTTACCAAACTCCCAATTCAGATAGTCTGTGTAGAACTATGACCAGTTCATCAGTATATCAGGTCAGCCTGATATCCTTTTTCTTTGATTCATTCTGACAACCTAGTTGGTGGTACCTCCAAGACTCCTAACCTGAAGGTTCTTGCCCATTCATTTACTACAACTGGATACTACAACCTTGGTATCTGTTTTTCTGAGCTAGCCTTTACAGTAGGGCCATCGAAGATCCAGCTACCTCTCTATTCAGGTCTTCTCAAATGGACTTCTTGTTACCCAATTTCAATAGATTTACATAGCTACAAGGACTTATCTAGTGTTTGTACTATTCAATTTGTTGGTTTGTATTCCTCTGTATAATGCCATACTTATACAGATGCCCCATAACCTGCCAGTCATGCTGGTACAACTGCTATTACAAATATCCTAACTCAATTATTAGTAACAGTTGCTATAATATGAATATTACATAGGTGATTATCCAAATTTTCACTGTCGATGGAATTTTAATACCCAATCTACTATTTGGGGAGTTGACAACCTGACCACTTCACTAGGTCACTACACCTTAGAGTAATGTTTATAAAATTTAAATAGTATAAACTATTTATATAATATTGTTTTTTTAAAAAATTTTTTAATTATAAAGATTTTTTAAACTATTTAGAATCAATTTAAGAAATATTAAGTATTTACAAAAACTAATTAAATGTTTAAAAAATTTTAATAAATATCTGAAAAACAAATTTTTCAAAACAACTTAACAAATTATTCTAAAATATTAATAAAAAAATTTGTAAAAACAATTTTTAGGTTTTATTTTTTTGTTTTTTTTTTTTTTTTTTAAAGTTAAAGTAAGGTTTTGCTTATATCTTTATTAATTTGTTAAAGATGTCTTCAGAGGCTTCTTTGAATATAAATTATAAAATCTATTTCAATTACAAATTTGTTACAAGAGTAAAACTCAAACTATAAAAAGAAACTAACTTTTATTTGTTTAATTTATTTGTAGCTTAAACCTACTAGAATAGTTAAAACTCACCTAAATTTAATAATATAAAATGTTGTTTATAGGATAACTATAAAGTATCCAATAATTAAGACATAAATTAATTTTATGTAAAACATGATCAAGTAGTAGGCAAGTATTTGAATCAATATGTTTTAAACTTGATAGTCTATATAGATTGCAAGTTGTACTATGTAATTGATATCTGTTGACATAGTATACATTATTATGATTAGTTCATATAAGTCTTCTTATTTTTTGTTTATAATTTAATAAGCTTTGGTTTGTTAATAATAAAATATATGTCAAAATAATTAATTTAAAATGTTTAGTATTTTTCTAATAGGTAGCAATGTATATTAACTTTTTATTAAAAAAAAATTAAACTATATATAATTAATTAATTGATTTTCATCTAATTGGTTTAAATTTAAAAATTTATAAAGGATAATTATCTGGACCAAACTTTTCAAAAATGTCAAACTACAGAAAAACAATATAGTTAATATATTAAACTTTATGAAAACTTTTTTGGAACACTAGACATGCATAATAGGCATTAAAATAGAATTGAAAAAAAAGCTATTATTTTGTTATAATAGTTTAAAGAAGCTTTAGAATCATAAAAAAAGTGGTTAATAAAAGCTGAAAGTTTCTTATAAAATAAACAAAGATATTGAATATATTATTTTTATACAATTGTAAAACTTACAAGAAACTCCTAAAAGAGATAAGTATTTACAAAAACTATAGTTTGATTTATCTCACACCTTTTTTTTTAAGAAAAATTTTGTAAAAAATAGGTAATTCAGTTTATCTTCTTTAAAAGATCAATACATAAAACACTAAAACAGTTAGTAGTATTTACTTTTTAATTAGAATTGTGTAAACAATACAGCACTACAAGCATGACTTATATACATGTCTCAAACTACTAAAATTCTATAAAATACTGTCTTCAGACTAACCAATATCTCTTATCAACTCTCTATGTTCAAGTTGAAGTTTTATTCTATATAGTTTTTGTTAAATATTTTAGTAAATAGAAAAATAGTAAAGTTATTTCTATTTAGTATAGTTTATAATTTTTAAAAATCTGATATAGGCTTATAATTGTAATTATTTAATAGTTATATAACAAGAATTACATATATTTTTTCTTTTTTTTTCTTATTTCTTTTCTTTTCCTTTTTTATTTCTTGTATTTGTATCTTTTATTGTCTATCTCTATACCTTTGTATTTTTTTATATAGGTTTTTTTTGTTTTTGTTCACTTCTCTACAAAAAGATGTTATCAAATTAACAATATCCTATTGTAGAATGGTGATTGGATGCAATTCCTAATATACTCTAATTTCTTTTGAAGTTAAACAGTTAGTGCAAACAAATTGCTTATAGAAATTCATAAAAGCACTTATAGGATGTTGTGTTAAAATTTATAAACTAATTTGTATATACTATATATAATACAAAAATATATAATAAAGATGACCAGAAAAACTGCTCAAGTAAAAGAAAAAAAAAAATTTATAAAAAAATTTATTTTATATTTTAATAATTTAGTAGATTTTTAAAAAAAAAATTTATAAAAATTTTTTAAAATTTATATATAAAATTTTTTAAAAAACTACTTAACTTGATCTGTTTAAAAGTTTTATGTTATGAAAATCAATATATTTAAATTTGTATAACCTTACTTTAATTTAATTGAAATAAATCAAGTTTCAGTAAAATAAAAACTAAGTTCAAAAAATTCCTATTGCAAACCAAAAAAGCATTAATTTGATTTGCCAGTAAATCACAATGTTATAATATCATGTGATTGCAGAAGTTGACTTGGGATCGACTTGAAAGATACTCGACTAAAAGTCGACTAATAGATTCAACAAAGTAGGGATAAATACGATGGTTATAACTTAGTTACGTCACCGTAAATGTGTACAAGTAGCAGGTTTAAATAAATAAATCAGGAAAACGCAACTTTATGACCGTGTCTTTTTTAATGTATGTTTAACTTCAGTAATTATATCAATTACTCTTTACAGATGATATATTAAATTTTAAATTTGTTTGAAAAAGACTTTCCAATATGAAAAATGTGATGTTCTGACATTCATAATTTTGCTTTTATCTTATATTGCTGTATAGAATAGGTAACTAATACTTTCACCATTATGAGTCCTTCTAATGGCTTCTGCTAATGTCGCTGAAATATCAATAATTACAAGTTTGGAAATCTGGTTGCGTTTTTCAGGTGGAATTGGAAAACTATTTGTGACTACCAACTGTTTTAAAGATGACAAAAGACAGTTTATGAATAAATATACATTAAAAATTTATTAAAAAGAATGATATGTATTAAAGTATGAAATTTTTATACCTTATATATACTCTTACATCTTTCAATTTCTCTTAAACTATCACCGCTTAAAATTCCGTGAGTAGCGATCACATAAACACGTTTAGCGTTACATTTATTTATCAAATGATTGGCAGCAGCTATAAACGATCCAGAATTATCAATCATATCATCCTATAATTGGATATTTTTTAATTTGTTTTGATTAATTTTCAGAAACCAAGTATAATAGCAAAGTATGACAACTCACCACTATAAAGGCAACTTTCCCTTCAACATCACCTACAAGAGTAATAATATCGATTTCATCCTCGTTGGTTGTTGAAGCGGCAGAATCATCAGTTGAAAGATTTGTGGTGGTTTCGTCAGTCTCATCATCCTCCACCACCTCATCATCATTTACTCTGACATTTGTAACACATGGCATAGTAGAATCGCAATAATTCTTTCGGCGAGATTCACGTGTACGATCAGTATGGATAAGTGCAAAATCTATTTTAAGACGATCTGCGAGTGATGTTACTCTGACGATGAGATAGATGTTTTTTTATATTATATTAATTTATAAAAATATATAGTATTTTTGAATGTTAAAAAAAATTACTTCAAACCTTTTTGCACCACCAGCATTTTTACTAACAACAACACCATTAGTATATTCAGGAACTAGGTCTTGAATCCATTTAGCAATACTAGGTTCAGCAAAAAGATTATCAACCGGTTTGTTAAAGAAACCTTGCATTTGGTACGCATGAAGATCCATGGTGATAATATGATCTACACCGGCAACAGAAAGTAGATTTGCCACTACTTTAAAAAGCATTTTAATAATAACATAGTTAATTAAATAAGTTTTATAAGTAAAACATTATAACATTATTTTATAGAAATGATACCTTTGGCAGTTATGGCACAACGGTACTTCTTTTTTTTGCTCTGTTTTGAATAAGGGAAATATGGCATAACAGCTAAGAAAGCGAGTAAATCAGCAAACGTTCATTTATCTGAACTTTAATATTATAAGCCGCGTTGCGCTTGTTGCGTCAAGGCCGACATGTTACCGGTGATTCTACTTGCAGAAGCGCCTTTACAAGCAGCTATCATGATCAATAGTTCCATAAGGTGATCATTAATTTGAGTTGAACCTGACTGAATAATGAATACATCTTCGTTACGGACAGAACAACCTGAATTGAATTAAATCACAAATAAAAAGATTATTATTAGTTATGTAAAAATATGTGAAATTTAAATGATACTTAATAGTAAAATGAAAGAACATCCTTCTTTTTAAATTATTTAATAAACTTCACAAGCAACGAAGGTGTACTTACCAATCTCAACGGAAGTTTCTTTGTTGCTAAATTTCTTTAATACAACTGGGGAAGAAGGCACACCTAACCTCTCACATATACTATTTGCAAGTTCAGGGTGAGAAGAACCCGAAAATATTTTAGCACGTCTCATGAGGTTTGTAATAGATCAAATAGATAATTTTTTAATTCTGTTAGAAATAACAACATAAATGTCAATGTAGATCATTTAGATAATGCCAGCCAGAATTTGCGACTGATCCTTCACCCGGTGTGCAACATATAAAAAAAATTATTTTACAATACTAGATCATCATGTTATGATTATAATGCACGCCGGGTGACGTTTCCTCCCGTTGCTAGCATGCAACTACGATCTTGAAAGGATAACCCTCAAAAAGTCAAATTAAAATCTCATGTGCAAATCACCCAAAATTGTAACTGTTCCGGAATTTTTGTAAAAAAAAAAATACTTTCTTGTTCCGGATAGGACCTATAAGATAATGCGAATTTACTCTTATTTATTGAGAAGATACGATTTAAAAAAAGGATAACCTTAAGTACCGCTGTTCCTGATCGACCATTCAGGGTGCAGGATCAGTGAAAAATGAAAATCGACTATAGAATCAGCCCCAAAGAAAAGGGGGAACCGTCACATCATTTGCAGATCTGTTACACAATTCATAAAAAACTTTTTTATATTTAAAGTATTTTTTCAAAAAGTTCACGTTACTTACCCCACTTTGAAACATGAAGTAGTACTTTGTGAACTTGAGGGCTTCGTACAGTAGTTTAATAATATCAGTTGAATCCCAGTGAATCCCACAGCTTTTATATGACGATTTACCTTTCAAAGGTATATATGTAACTAAGTAAATTAAGAAATACCGAACTACAATTCCTAGACTTGAGCAAAAAAAGTAAAAGCAATGATCTAATAAAGGTAATTAATTATACATTTATAATAATGTTTTTCGCGTTTGATTTGTTACACGAGATCCTGTGATTTTATTGACATAACACCTGATCATGTGTATTTTGTTAACACGTAAAAATGAATAAATTCTTTTTGTCGGTTTACTTTAGGCAAAAGTCAGATACAACATGAAGTCTCTTGGATTTTCTTCAATTTAGAAAAAAACAAAAAACTTGAGTCAAAAATCAAGATATAGAATTTAAGCTATTTAAACAAGTTAGTTATTAAAAATTTTATGCTTAAAAATATAATGTAAGTCACTCAAAATGACTTGGCCTCACCTGTGTTCACAGGGTGTTGCAAGTCTTAATTTCTTTTCGAAATCTTGTCTTATCTGCATCAAACAGATATTGCAATTTTTCTCTTTATCATCAACTTAGCCTCATCTGTATTATTATACAAGGTGTTGCATGTTATTTTTATTTTGGACTTGGCCTCACCTGTATCATACAGGGTGTTGCAAGTCTTTCTTACGATTACTCACACAGATATTGCAACCCAAATTTCTTTAGCTAAGAGTGACATTATTTTTTAGAATGAAAGAAATAGGACCCATATAAAAGGCATTTTTGAAGATCATCCAACAATCAAACTTTCTAACAATGAAAAGTTTCGAAATTCTAAGTTGCTTGTGTCCAGAAAGGTGTGTCTTTGAAAATACTGTCTTATGTGATTAATACTAATTAAATGATTTATTTTGCAGGATTTCAAATATCTTTTTATTCACTGGATATGAAAAACGGAATCATCCCAAGAAATACTTAGAAGCATAAATAAATACGAATATTTCATTTTTATTGTCTTGTCTTATTCAGTCTAATGCCATTCCCACCAACGCTGTCGTTGCTGCTGGTATGTGAATAAAAATACGATAAAATCATATAATTACCGATATCTTTTGACGACGAATTTTTCTTCAAACATAAAGCCCAATGTCTATACACTTTAACGGACGAAAATCCAGACATCCATATTCATTTTCAGCAGAATCAACAATATATACAATCGTTATTAAATATCATCGAGCTTGATGAAAGTAATCACTCGTCAAACGAAACTTCGTTATTTATCAAAGTTCTATGTTGTGGTATTACAAACATACGCACTCGCTAAATCGGTTCAACCATGATGTAATATACTTTTAAGAAAACATTTTGAAATTTACAGGAATTCTATCGAATATTTGTTCCGTTGTCGATCTTTCTACATCAAAATCGGAGTCCACTTTATATCTAAACAATTATTTGATACCGGTACTAATATCTTGCTTGACTTTCGATATTAACAAAGCTGTGAGTGAAGCTATTGAGAACGTTTCAGAGATTGCAACCATCTTTTGTCGTATATTTGATGACGATAACGCTTTTTGAACTTTTGCTAATAAAATTATAATCTTCTGGGGGGATTAGGAAAATGCACAAGGCCCAGTATCCATAAAAGAATACCCAAACTTTACAATACCAACGGCAGAAGTAATTGATCACCACAATTTTTATAGTCGATCTTGCGTATTAATTCAACATTTTAATAATAAATCTGTTAACAGAATAATCTGAACACGACTAACGGCTTTACAACTTGCTTTCGAAATGTTGAACAAAATTTTTTCGGATTGTTTTCCAACGGTAAAAGATTGTAATTACAAAGCTATTTACATATTTCTAACTTGACTACTAAAATTATTAATTATTTTTTATATCATAATAAAGATGGTGACGATGATGGGTGGCAAGATGAGCCTCAAGAAGGCAATGATATGATGCCCGCTAATGTTAAATAAGATACTAACATAATGGGAGAAATCATTATGTTGAACGGGAGTCAACCTGATAAACAATCAAAATTCAACACTTATGCTACCGTTATTCTACCACCCAACTTTTTAATTTGGCCTGCCCAACACTTTTATCATTCCCAAAACAACTTGGTCCTAACGTGTTGTCGATCCCTCAGCTACTCCAGAGATCACTTCATCGCTTGCAACTGTGCATTTAAGAGCCATAGAATGCATTAATAATTTTCTTTTAATCATAGTAGATAATGTCGAAGATAAATGGTGGTTTACGCAGCATCGAGAGGATGATCAACAAACATGGGCATTTCTATTTGAATTGAGTGATCAAATCACTGGAAAAGGAATATGTGAACCAGGAGAAGAAAAAATAGAGCTAAAATTTTGGATGTATTAATAGGATGCCTTTGGACTTTGACCAGAGGGTTAGAAGGCGATGTGGTATGGATCTAGGGTTTATAATTTTTATTCATAATAAACATACTAAATTTTTTTTCTTTAGCCTGTTACTGATGCCTAAATTCATGGTTTGATTGGTTGCTATGAGTTAGGTGTATATAATACAATGCGTGTAAAAGTAATTGGTGCATTAGGTATGATTGCAAGGCGACAAAACGTTATAAACGATAACAAGGTTTGGCTTAATTGTTTATTGTAATTTTTATTTTCTTTGAGCATTTAAGATAATTTCTGACATTCAATATCTGATAGGAACGTTTCTACTCAATATCCTAAGCTTCTTAAAAGATGATTTGCATCTTCGGAATTTGTAATTAAAGTTCTTAATGCTATATATGACATATGCTAACAAAGATTTTGATTATGATGAGCCAGTTTTTGTTCAAGGTGGCTATTTACCTTTACTCGAAAGTATGGTTGATGCAGTACGCAAAATGGTAAGTATAAAGTCAAAATAAACCTAAAAAAACTACAATCAATTTTTGATTTTTATATGTTATTTTGATAGTATAAAAAAATTATAACAAAATGTTTGTTCAAGAAAACATGAATTTTTTTTACTTTTTATATTATATTATTTTACAAAAATAAAGAATATGCTGTGTTACTTAATAAACTTATTTCTATAAAAGCTTTTAACAATTTTGCTTATTAAGTAAAATACAGTCAAACCTCTTTATAATTACATCTTCGGTTTAAAGAATTTGGTGCTTATAGAGAGTTTGTGCTTATATAGAGGTTAAATTTTATAAGTGTTATATAAGTTGGTTTTAAAAATTGATGTAATTATAAGCAAATGTGACTATAGAGAAGGTGATTATAGAGAGGTCTGACTGTACATGTTTGACTTATCAAGTAATATTGCCAAGCTTTTTAAAATAATGGTGTAATTGAGATGTTTGTAAAAAAAATATATTAAAAATTTCTAACAGTAAAATTTTTGTTAGGAATATATTGTATAGTTGCAAAAATAATACTATTTTGTCTTTTGTATTATGTAGATTACAAAGATTCTAAGATTTAGATGGTTAGTAGTATTTAATTAGTAGTTAGGTTTGAAATTACTTAGTCTAAAAGAGTTATCATTGTTTATTATTTATATTTTTGTATAAGAATATTCTTTGTCAAGTTTTAGTTAAGTAATAAGGTTTGTCTGAATATGCATATAGAAAGAACCAGTTAGAGATAAGAATTTTGTAGTCACTTTGAGTACTAGTATCAGAATCTTAACAATAAAGGAGTTAAAAAAACAGAGAAGAGATTGGTTAGTTTAGATATAATTAATGCTACTACTATATCTGCTGCTTTGATATATAGATATAGATAATTATATATAGCTAAGTTAAATAAGTTATTATATTGAAAAAAATAAAGTAGTTTATATTTGATTAAAAAGAATTAATTAAGATAGATCTATTAAAGTAACCTAAAATAATAAGTTGTATGTTTAGAGTAATAGCTTGTTGAATTCATTATATGATACTATTTTGTACTAATAGTTTAAGTTAAAAATTGTCATATAATAAGTAGATTAAAATAATTCTAAATTTAAAGTCATATTTGAAGAAGAGATCTACTATAATATTATATTCTGTAAAGAGTAGAATTTTGTAAATATAACATTTAATAGACTTATAAATCATAATAGCAATACCTACTTTAGAGCTATTTATATAAGATTAGAGTTAAGTAAAATGTTTAGACTTTTGTAGTTTAGTTATAGAATTGTTTGCTATTATTTTAGTTTCTATAATACTAATAATTTTAAGGTTATTGAAAAACAAAAGTCTTTTTAAATTTATTGTTTTAAATTTTTTTTTTTTTTTTTTTTTTTGAATTAAAGTCCCTGTCTGTAGGAGTTGATGTTTTTATTCATGTATTTGGACTCAGGTGCCTCCAGAGGCTCCCTTACATTGGAGGTTACAACTAGCCACATGTGCACTTTTGGTGCCTAATTTAAGTAGTCTGCCTATACATTACTATA